CCTCCCCCTCCCCCTCCCCAACCCCAATGACATAATTTAGAAAATTAAGAAAGCGGGTTTCAACCCTACCTGTCAGGGTCAACCCGGATTGAGAGGGAAACAACGCCCCACAACAAATACCGAGATACTGGTTAGAAATTCTTCTCCCCACAAGGGATTCAATTTCGTGTCTATGGGGCTCTCTCAGTCATTCAATAGGTCCTGGGTTTGAATCAGGAAAGCGACGGAAGATCTTTTTTTTATAAAATGTTCTCTTGTTCTGAACTTAAACAATGTTCTGTCGTCTTCTATCTACTCCCCATTTCGTCCCTAGATCTACCCCTTCCCTTCACCCTCTCCCTCTGGGCTCCTGACTATTTTTGCAGCCTTTCTTCTGCTACTCCTTGGCTTCTTCCTACTGCTGTCTTTCAGCCACACCCCTGTTCTTACGGTTGGTAAGATCTAACACCTAGCATTCTCGGATATGGGTGAAAAATCTCGGAGGTCTCGTGTGTAAGTTGCATTGGTGGTCCAAATTCGACAAGAGTAGGCTTCGGACGCCACTAAGGCAAAATTCAATTTTTTTTAATAACTGAAAATGTTTAATGTGTATCGCGTGCACTAAACAAAAAGAAAAAGCAATAACAAAAAAACACAAACAAAAGCCCACAAAAAGCTCGTGTTCTTTGCGAGCGGCGGTAAAGCGCACGTGAACACATGGGCTTAAAACCATGGAATACCTTTCAAAAGATGAGATTAATTACATCAGGATTCGAGGGGAGGGGGCTTCGTACCGGGTATTTTACATTGGTATTTTGTTTCTGTGGTAATTTGTTCTTGTTCTTGTTCTTGTTCTTGTTCTTTTTCTTCTTCTTCTTCTTCTTCTTTTTTTTTTCTCCTTCTCCTTCTTCTTCTCCTTTTTTTAAAACCTTTTCTCAAATTTTTGGGACGTTTTACCTGTTCTGAAGAAAATGAGACACAGTTTGTGGATAATATTAAAACATTAACGCCTTGTCCGATTTTAAAATCGCTTTTTGACAAACAACACACACGGACAAACACGAAGAGACACATATATTCGAGCACACTCACACACACACACACACACACACACACACACACACACACACACACACACATACATACATACATACATACATACATACATTCATAAATACATACACACACACACACACATACATACATACATA